CACCAAGACTCGCTTCGAAAAAGAGGCTAAAGGTAATTCGGAAATGGCCTATTGTACAGGTGGAATCTTGTCGTCTCGGACAGTTTAAAGTAACAAAACTGAACGCAAGGGGAGAAATGGCGATATCCGTAGCCTGAAACTTACGTAACAATTTAAAAGAAACAACCAATCTAAGGCGTGTTATGACTGGATACTCATGACTACCTCAAAACTACAGCTAAAACTACGCTAACACTACAATCAATTTTAATTTTTGTTTTTTCCTTTCTCAGACTTGAACAGCTTACCAAACTACCAAAACCAATACTTCAGCAAAGCGAGCCAGTGCAGGTATTTAACAATGTCACCAGTAGAATCATTTTTATGGGCATATTCTAATGGCGGGTTAACTGAGCCAACCAATCAACAAGTCAATCAATCAAAAGCATGCTTAATTACTTAAAGGCAGACTTAATCTACGCCAGAAGGCAACTACTTGCTTTGAAGTTAGCTTAAGCCGGGCTATAAGGTACCAGTTTCAACTTGAGTATTATACCCTGTGTATCAAACTTGTAATTTTGTATTTTGAAAGGTTGTACGTTACAAGGAAGAAGGTCACTATCATTGTCACCATGACAGCGAGGCAGTCACGCCTGAGAAACAGTGTTGCTTGTACGGCACGAATGATTGCAGGCTCTGCAGGTTAGTGAATTTAATTACTGCTGCAACCTAGTCATGGCCAACCAGATCAACCGGTTTCTCGTACTCTGAATGAAGGGCTTCAAATTGATCATTCAGATCAACTGTTAGGTGGTGTTCTATCAAAGACAGAAAGATTGGATTAGTTGGGTTTTCTGGCTGTCTGTCTGTCTGTCTGTATGTCTATCTGCCTGTCTGTCCCCCTGTCTCTGGCCTGTCTGCCTGTTTGGCTACCCGTCTGTCTGTCTGTCTGTCTGTCTGTCTGTCTGTCTGTATATCTCTATGTTATTCTGCATTTGCACATACCTGTTTCACCGTCTGTCTGCTAGTCTGTCAGTCTTTCTGCCCTTACGTCTGCCTGCATTTATGCATGTCTATCTGTCTACCGGTCTGCTTGCGTCCGTTTACCTGCTTATTTGTTTCCTTTTCTGTTACGAAAAGTTCTAAATAAAATGAAACTGATATTTTCGGTTGAAACTTTCCACCAACAATCGTTGGAGTCTAGGGAGGTGTTGTCAATCGAATGGCGTTCACAAAATAAACTCAACGTTTTTTTTTTACTTAGACCAATGGTTTCGGTTGATTAAGATTTGTCACATCATATACATGTGTAAAGAAAATAAAGGACGAGTGTTCAGTTGATTTGTCATCAAAGTCAATTGAAAGAATTATGTGGTTGAAATAAATTTGTTTACTCACTTTTTCTCAAGTTCACTTTCTCGCAATTGGTTTCTCACTTGTTTTCAACATGTTACTTTATCTGTCAGATATCTTACTGTCATGGTTTTTCTGAATGACGTAGAGGAAGGAGGCGAGTGTGCATTTCCTGTTGCTGATAACGCGACTTTCAGTTGGAAGGTAAACAAACAAAAACACAGCTCTCTTCAAAACATGAGCAACCTCATTCGTGCTTTAAAACAAAATCTCACAAGAAGTGGAGAGTCCTTCTCCACCATTTGAGACGGATTCCGCTCAAAGTTCGAGCAATAAGTGCAAAAATTATTTGCT